TTATTATTTAATTTTTTAAATTTATTATAAATCTGTCAAAAGTTGGTATATTCATTCAAAAATAAAATCGAGCACAATCAATACACTTTCATCAACGATTTATTAATTTATTTATTCCACTTTCGTGTTTCATATTAAATTATGATTTAAATTATTCTTCATGTAACTTTCAGACCGACTTGAACAAATATTGAAGAAAGATACATACATTTTTATCATCCATTAGGAAATAAATTATTAGTGTCAATAGTCTCTTAATATTATGTATCATCGATATATATATATATATATATATATATATATATATATATAGCACAATACCACAAAGCGTAAATACGATCCTGCTACAACTATCAGTATAAAGTTTTCGATTTTAACAAAATTACTCAACAACTTGAATAAAGCTTTGAAACATGTGCTTGGGAAGATTCAAAAGATTTCGTGAAACAAACACGCATCACCGTCCTCTCTCCATCATCTCGCCATCTCAGTCCGAGAAAATTTCCCAACGTTTCCGACAACGATGTTTTGCCGGCAATTTTCGCGCGAGATCTCCTCCTCCCCATAGCCACGTTTCATCGCAGAGCAACGTGTAATTGATTTTTGGCAACTAAAGTTTAGATCGTCGTTTTGTCGCTCCGCTTTATATAGGCGTACTATAGGCAGGCTATAGTTTCGAGTTATTAAATTGCCGAGCGAGAGCCAGCGCGCGGATAGACAGGATTGTTTGATGTTCCAATCTCTCTGATTAACTATCCTGTCTACGGGGCCGGGTAATATCGTTACACTTTTTTTGCCGGAAACCCAGTTAGTCAACCCATCATGGGTTCCCCGCGGTTAATTTTATCGAGAGCAATAGCCAACGAGTCGTCTAATCTTGCAGGAAATACCGGCCACTGGCCCCAGTAAGTTTCCCCGAGTTACGTTTCTCGTTACGCGTTTGATCCGTCGGGGCTCAACTTCCGGGAGGGTCTAGCCTTCGCTTCACCATTTTCTTTTTCGTTTTCTCTATTTAGACTGGGAACAACCACTGTCATAAGCTTCAACCTGTCGAGATCGAAATTCGTCCCACTTTTCTAATAGAATTTACGGTGTACTGAAAGGACACGTGTACACACGTGGAATCAGTGTAGCGCGTATTATCCTGTAATTCGTGTTTCTAAACGTGTAATTATTAGATTTAGGTGCGCGTGTGAAATTTCGTTTCTTCGTGTGAATTTAACAGTTATCAATTATCAGTGATCGATCACATTAAAAAAGAAGAAATTTGTTATAAATCACGTATGCCTGGTGTTGGAAAGATGTATAATAAAAACCTCGAAATATTATCATTAATTGTTACAAACGATTAGAACATTCTTGTGCTACACTCTGGATAAGTTAAAGATGGCACACTCTGTATTTTCTTATGTCATGTATCGTAAACTACAGAGATTGCGTAGATTGTTGTTACATCAGTATCCTTGAGTATCGATGTACATGCAGTATGTTGAACGCCATTACCGAGAAACGCAATCTCTTGGAAATACAAAAACGAAAAATGTAAATATTGCCCACAGCCGCGAGGTAGATAAATTTGGACAAGTCTTAACATTTACACCCCTCAGTCGTACCGGAGCTATCGAAAGCGTAACATTCGTGTGAAATATGGTCAGTTAAGTGCGTATTAACATTTGTAAAAATGGGTCGCGAGAAAGAGCTGAAATACACGTGATGTTGAAGCTGAACGAAGAACATTATTCTGTGACAGAAATGGCGAAAACAGTTAATAAAAGTCGTAAAGTGATGATGAATTTACCAAAAGATTCCGATAATTGTGAAAAAAGAAAAAATTGTCTGACGATCACAGTGTTTAATAGTTCGTGTTTAATAGTTCATAAACATGGTGTAACACGTGTAGCGTCAAATTCAAGCTATACTGCGAGATACATTGCAGAGAAAGCTAGAGTTATGACAAATGTTAGGAATGTTCGATGTCTTTTGAAGAATCACGAACATCTGAAACGACGAAAATTGCAACGAAACCTTTGAACGAGAAACACGTTCACACGAATAGGAAACGGCGAAGAATCATATTCACCGATGAGAAGAGAAACTTAGACGAACATGACTCCTATTCCACTACTATTATGACGATTTACGAAAGGAGCAACAATTTCTGAGTCGTCGACTACGGTAAGATGGAAATAAAATTTATTACAGAAAAATTAAATAGTAAAAAATATATTGTAACGATTGACGAACAAATTGACACGTATGCGACATGAATTGTCGGAAATGAGTACCTTTTTCAACGTGATAAAACTAGTAAAGCAATTCTTTGTAAACAAACAGTTCGTGTTTTAGAATGTTTATTAAGAACTTTGTTTATCTGATCATCGTTTCTATGAACCAGCTAATGTGTTGAGTTTCAGATATACAAACTCGTAATTGATCAACTTTTATTATCCTTGTGTACTGTCTCTTATTATTCGAACAAATAAGAGTAGGATCTATAGGAGATATTAGGAAGATAATAAACAAAAATTTTCAAAAAGAAGTTTTATTCCGCCAAATTATTTTCTGCTAAACTCAGATTTTCTTGACACACTGTAAAATGCTTCTTATGCTGTTTTATATACAAACTCGTAATTGATCAACTTTTATTATCCTTGTGTACTGTCTCTTATTATTCGAACAAATAAGAGTAGGATCTATAGGAGATATTAGGAAGATAATAAACAAAAATTTTCAAAAAGAAGTTTTATTCCGCCAAATTATTTTCTGCTAAACTCAGATTTTCTTGACACACTGTAAAATGCTTCTTATGCTGTTTTATATACAAACTCGTAATTGATCAACTTTTATTATCCTTGTGTACTGTCTCTTATTATTCGAACAAATAAGAGTAGGATCTATAGGAGATATTAAGAAGATAATGAGCAAAAATTTTCAAAAAGAATTTTTATTCCACCAAATTATTTTCTGCTAAACTCAGATTTTCTTGACACACTGTAAAATGCTTCTTACAGTTATTTGATATTTCCTTTTCTAACACATAAAGTTTGTTATTGAACAAAATCTTTTCTCTAAAATGACATACAGTCAAGTATCTTTCTGCAGCCAGTTACATAGTGTTTCAGTCTTTTCTGTTTTTTTGTTAGATTTGTGTACCGATTGCAATGCCGAGATTGCTCTCGAATTTGCCTGCTTAAAATTACATGGAAATACTTTCTCGAGCGATTCAATATAGCTTTAATCACAATAAACCGCAATAAACATTGACCACGAAGGATTAAAGCGCGGATACACGAATTACACGCGTACCCGAGTGTCTCAGTATCCGTGAAATAGCTACCTCCATTTTCCACCCTTGTCATAAAAAGTTCTTAAGCCAGGGTGGGTTACGAGGAACGATAAGCAGAGGGGATTATTATTGGATCGCAAGATAGGAAGGGAAAAACACGTTTGTTTGACAATGGTCGTTAAACGGCTATCGAATTGGCGTCGTTTCAACTGTTGCGCGATGATGTCCAATGCAGTATCCACCGATAAGGATGGCTGGTGGCAGGCGATCGTAATGACCTCGAATAAAAGAGGCGAGGCAACGTTAAACGAGCCAACGCGTTGGTCTATGAATTACCAATTAAACACCGATCGAGCTATTTCTTTCTCTACTTTTCCTTTTCTCCTTCTCTTTACATTTCCCCCCTGGCGGCAACACGATTTCTCAATTTGGTTGCAAATGTGGCGGATGCTTGAATTTGGCGTGTCGCTGTCAGAACGGAGAAGTAATAAATTGGACGGCCAATAAGGGGCGAGCTCGTGGAAACGAGAAAAACGTGGAGAAACGTGATACGACGGAGGCAATGTAAGGAAAAACGAATCAAGTCAGGAGAGGTGAATTTATTTTTTTCGAAACGTTTTTCTGCGCCTCGTCGTCTAAAGTCTTGTCCTCCTCCTGTTTTTAATTACTGCGGAATATATCGTTATCGAGATGTCGTTATTTTCGTACCGCTAAAGTTCGTGAACGCGATTCCGCCGGAGAGATTGAGAAGGTGAGCATCGATCCGATGGAAGTAGAAAAGTAGAGGGAATATCGAAAACCGTCTCGTTTCGTTTCGTGCTGCAACTTCCTCGCGATTCTGCTGATAATAAATAAATTTGTCGAACGGTAGCTTCTTGATGCCAGGGATATTTAATAAAAGTGGATGGAAATTAAATAGCGAAACGAGAAATAGACAGGAGAGACGGGAAATGAAATAAATGTGAAACTGGGTAACTTTACCACCATTTTACCGATAATAAATAAATTTATCAGACTTTTGATGCTTTCTGATGCAAATGATACTTAACGAAAGCGAAATCAAAGAAACAGGAAATGAAATATATATGAAAATATCGAGGGGAAAATATCAAAAAGAGAAGATTCGATTAGAATAAAAATTTAGAACAAAAAGTCCGTTTTATTAAATATATTACAAAAAACGAGTTTCTCTTTCCGGTGATAAATGTCAATTTTATGAACGAGAGATGTTCAGTTTGTTCTGACTTACTCAGATTCGAGCGTTGTGGCAAGAAGAATAATTTGCTCGAAAGAATTAAACGAACAGGCATGTAAATTTATATTATCATTGTTCTTAGTACATGTCATCACATGATGTATTTATCAAGTGTTGATATGTTTGTCCAATTGATTTTGAGATCTGTGAGTGGATGAAACCTCACAGTATGTCCTTCAGGATATCAGGACACGTAGAAATTACTGTTCAATAGTTTAAATAAATCAGAAATAATTCTACGTTTATATAACGGGTTTCTTTGTAAAGTTTAAACCAGAGAACGGAGGAATATAATTATGGCCGAATATGGACAATGGCTGTTCCACTTCGAGTAACAAAAAGATTTCTCTCCCTTTCTGTTTCATTCATAATCGTCGTTCATGATGTTTCTGTTTCACCTCAAGCGTTTCGTAATATTATAACTGCACCGTGATAATTATTATCTTTTCTTTTACTCACGTTTTCACTTGTCTTCTTGAGTTGTTTGGAAGCCTTCCACCAAGTCAGAACAGCCGGCGGTCTCGACCCGGTGCTCTGACATCTGGTCTCGTACTTCTTCCCCGCCGATAGAATCTTGTCCTTCCCCATAATTTCGACTTTCAATGGTTTCACTGAAAACGTCGATAAATGTCAAGCGGTGTTTTGAACGGGTAGAGACTCGACCTCTTAACTGGAAGAAGAGTAACTCGTCACTTGGATTCCTAATCTCCAAGTATAATCGGATCTCTGAATTGATGCCACCGTTATCATTACTGATGATGTTAATTTTTTTTTATAGTCGCACGTGTAAAGGATTGGTGAAAATCAATATATTTAATCCAGTAATCTAATTAGATGTAGAAAATTTTGGTTAAAAAATGACCCAGTTAAGAGGTTAACAATTTCACAAGTATGCATCAGAAAATTCCCTCGACAATTCTGAAATGTGATTTTGCCGAGGTCTCCAGCTACGAATTGGCGTCGTGAAAGTTTCTTTTTCAAGTTGTCAACAGTACTTTTCTTTAATACTTTGCAATTTATTTATTTGTTCGTTCGAGTAAACGGGGAAAATCTCTCGGAGAGAGATAGAAGAAAGCGTCGAGGTTTTAAACGGAGGCATTATACGAAAAAGGAAAAGAGAAAAAGAATTGAATAAAGAAACCAAGATGAAAGAGTACATAGAATAATAATACCAGTGATAGGTAAACGAGATGAATTAAATGAAAATAGATAAATGTTGAAGTTACAGTAACAGATGAAAATAATGAAGATAGATCAGTTAGGGTAGAAGACAGTAATAGATAGAAAGAATCTGTACAATATCTATCTTAGATGTAAAAATATAAATAATAATAATATATATAATATATATATAAATAATAAAATATATATAATATATAATCTATATATAATATATAGATAATAATATTTATATAAATAATAAAATATATATAATATATGTAAAAATATACAATAATCTATACAATAATGAATGTTATCTGTTATAAGTGAATCTGTAGAATATCTATCTTAGATATAATATGTAAAAATATAGATAATAATATTTATATAAATAATAAAATATATATAATATATGTAAAAATATACAATAATCTATACAATAATGAGTGTTATCTGTTATAAGTGAATCTGTAGAATATCTATCTTAGATATAATATGTAAAAATATACAATAATCTATACAATAATGAGTGTTAACGGGTAGAGGGGAAATTTAACTCTTTGATGTGCAATAACGTCTCTTGAGACGTTCGCAGTTTAACACGCATGCAATAAGGATACAAAAAAAAAAAAATATTTTTCTACATGTTTGACGTGACAAGATCGTGACGTTTGTTAAATACACGCAAACGTTGAAAAACAAAAAAGGAAACAACAAACGTCACCTCTTTGATCACGTGGAATTTCATTTAATTCGCACGTGAAAGGGCTGAAGAGCGAAACGGCGACAGCAGAGCTTAAATTCAAAATTTAACAAAGCAAATTTCCAGTTTCCAGCTGAAAGTTTTGAAATGGGAGGCTTCCGGATCAAGTCTCCAAGCTGCGGATCGAGGTGAAACGAAAAGAAAACAAAGGAAAAAAAAAAAAAGAAACAACAAATAAAATAAAATAAAATCATACGTTCGCGGACACGATGGTTGGCGGTAGTTGGCATTCGTAGATCGAGTTGACAGATGCCTTTCACAGCGTCGGAGGTCTTGGCTCGTTATTAATTAGATGACGAGATTGCGACCGCGCGCCGGCTGGCAAACGGGGAAAATAACCGAGCATTAATTAAACGCTCCGCCTCGGCCCGCGCGCGCGCTGACGCGAACGCCAGGGTGAGAGGGAACGTTGGATAACGTGGCGGCACGAGGCACAAGCGTAGCCATTCCTCGTTACCGGCCTGTAATTATCTGCCATTGTTCGCGACCGTTAAACCGTTCGTTACCCGGTGTCTACGCGTTCCCGGCAAGTTCGCGGTCGGCGAGTTGAATCTTTTGAAGCGAGTCGATTAACGTTCGCGGGAGAATCTTCGTTTCCGACTTTTCGAAACTTTCGCCCCTCCACCCTCTCTCTCTTTCTCTCTCTCTCTCGGTGGTTGTGCTCGTTAACGGGGCGCCACGCCGACCTTCGTTTCGCCGTTAAGAAAGATTTTGATCGCCTCGCAACTTCTTCGACTTTACGGCCCGCGGAGATAAATACAGTGGAGGGCGACCGCGCACCGCCAAAGATTTTCCTCCCCCAACTTTCCGCTGATTTCCGCAGGACCAAGAAACTTGCCTCGAGACGTAAATTTACCGTGCGACCAGACTCCATCCTGCGAAACCCGCTTGAATAATCATCGTTATTTCTTCTACTTTCTAGCACGTTCTTCTCTTTTCCTTTCTTTTCTTTTCTTTTCTTGCCATCTGCTTGTGAAACGTTTCCGGCAGTCGGTTTGAATCGAATCGTTCTCCGCGTCGTGTAATTTTCTAATCGAACGCGTGTACACGTGGATTGATTAAATACGAGCGAACGTGCTCGATAAATTTATAATTCGGGGAGAGTGGAATGTAGGGAGCTGCGCGGTGGTCTGTAGAGCGACAAGGTTGAATATTCTCATACTGAAATTATACTTTCTTTGCAATAAGAGTGTAATTAAAATACGACGAACGACGCAGAATATAATTGATACAATTGTCCGCATAGATTTAAAGGTTGAACGCTTGAAACACGTTTTCTATAATTATTTAAGTTTAAACAGAAAAACAATATCTCACACTTTTGCACTCTTTTAATAATCTGTTACGAGCATAAAAATTGTTACGAATTTCGCCTTGTTTGCAGATAAATTTCTAGATTTCGAGTACAATTTCACCCGGAATTTTGCAATTTTGTCTTCAGAATCTTACAGATTCAAAATTATCTGAATAGCAAATTTTCAATTTTGAAACTCCAAAGGAACAAAAAGTTTCTTGAACACACTCGACAAAATTATCTGAATAGCAAATTTTGAAGTTTGAAACTCCAAAGGAACAAAAAGTTTCTTGAACACACTCGATGTGTGTCGATGTGATAGAATTTTCATAACTTTTCTTATGTCTTTAATTCTAAAAATCGAGCTGAAATAATTTAATCAATCTTTCTGTAAACTATACTTTATACTTTTTCTTCTAACCATTTCTCATATACTTTACCCATCTTTATTCATCAATTATTCATTGTTTCATCTTTCAATCTATCTTCGCTGATGAATTAGCGTTTCAATCCTTTTAGTAGTTGTTCATTGCCATTTCTTCTTACATCGTAGGGATGTTTAACACTAACCAGAGTTACCAAAGTGATCTAAAATGACTATATATAATATATATTTTATTTATATATAATTAAATTTATTTAAAAAAAGAACTAGATATCAATAAATACGATAAACATTTAATTTCTAAATATATATTTATTTTTTTATTTAACAAAAACAATAACATATATATTTATATATATTTAGATCATTTATTCTCGAGATTTAATTAAATTATTAAAATTAATTAATTAACCCCGATAAAAAAGGTACAAATTTCATTTAAAAAAAATTCATTTTCATTATCTTTAATTACAAATGATTTTATTAATTTTAAATTGTTACTATAGTTATTTATATATTCACATTTATTATAAAATATATATGATATATAAATAATAGTCATGAGAATCAAATCCGTTGAATTGAATCTTGATCAAGTGCACGCGTACACGATACAACATTCAAAGCTATTTTCCTCGGAAACAAAGCATCGTGCGAAAAAATTTTATTCCATACTTTCTATTCAGTTTTTCACCTTCCCGCTTGTACCACCAGTTGCATGACACCCTGTATATTTTTTTTTGTACACGGTTATTGGTCCGATTATTGCTCGGGATCGAGCGTTATATAAAGCTATTATTATTATTATTATTATTATTTGCGGCACGCGAAATTTACCCCTGCGGATTTTCCGCGCAAAGGACAGTTCCGCCGAGCGAAAATTTTCGTTCGAAACAAAACGGCGGAGGAGAAAAAGGAAGTAGGAGCGACACCGCTATGCAGAGGAGCGTGGCCGGTCGCTCTGGCTAGTTGAAAAACTGTGTCAGAGTCAGGCGGGCGCGAGCAACAACTTTTTTGTTCGCCGTTCTGTCCACAATTTTGATGTACTTGCTGATCCTGACAGCGTGCCCCGGAACACTCCAGCTTCGTCCGTTTCGTCCGGAGCAAAAACTTTCCCTCGTCTCGCGCCTGTCTCGCCGGAAATTAAACCAAGACTCTCCGCCGATTGCTCATTTTTCTCCCCCCCCCTCCCCCCCCCCCCCGTGCTTGCTGCTCATCGCACTCTAAACATCGTCGAGAAACTATAATATAACAATTGTCGCGTTACTCGCCAAATATTATTTCAAAATATTGCTCTACGGCTGTTCTTGAGAATTCCTGTTCAACGTTAATTTACTTCTTTCGTTTCCTTTTACATCATTTTCCTCGAACCTTGTCGAATTGTCAATGAATTTCGTTAAAAAATGTAAAGCAAATAACAAAGACGCATACAGAGGATGTTATTTTTATTTACTTCATGAAACATTTATCCACTGGTTTGGGAAATGAACCGATTAGTTTATTCTCTGGGATCGGGGAAAAATTGCACAATTATCCTTGTATTTTAATTTTGAAAAACCAAACGGGATCGGATCGCGTTCTAACAGCATTGGATGTTAAACGTTTAAAGCAATTGTAATGCCAGACGAATTGTGAAACGAAATCAATTATTCATAAACTTTCATCTATGTATTATATATCTTTTCTCTCTCTCTCTCTCTCTCTCTCTTTTTTTTCGTTTTAATCAAAAAATTGAAATGAAATCCCTGTGAGAGATGTGCGAACATTGGCTTCCGAACACGTGTAAACGAACTGACGACGAACGCGATTTGATATCCTTAATGAGATCGCGAGACAAAGTTGTTCCCTGTCAATGGAAACGCCGCGCGAGCCGAACGTTCACAGGGAAATAATCTTATCCAGTTGGCACTTGCAGTTGACGCTCAAAGCGGCGTGTTTTTCTCGTCGCTTCGTTATTGCCGCCTCGAGGCTAGTTTTCGGAAACGAACGAAAACGGGGAAGAGGCCGA